TTCTAGGATATACTATTTTTTTCAAAAGTTATACTGACAAGTATGTATTATTTAATATGGATGATAATAAAGCTTTAATAAAAGTTTAGGTTGGTGGAAAACTATGACTCACTATTGATTTTTAAATAGATTCTGATCTTTAATCAGGTATTTCATTCAGTAAGTTAGCAGATAATTTCCTAAGTTGCAGACCTGGTACCTAAGAAAAACTAAGCGTTTTTACTCATCTACTTTGGAAAATCCTAAACTTGAAAAGTAACTGCCAGGTTGTGTGTAAGGTCAATTTCATAGTTAAAAATCACACCTTGACCTGGCCTGAGATTTTGTTGTATAATCACAGCATCCTTCATAAGAGGAATTTGAAAGTTTGTTTGTTTATTTGTTTATTGATTGATTGACTGAGATTGGGTTTCACTCTGTTGTCCAGTCTGGAGTGCAGTGCCGAAATCATGGCTCACTGCAGCCTCGACCTCCCAGGCTCAAGCAATTCTCCCACCTCAGCCTCTGAGTGGTTGGGACTACCTAGCTAATATTTTATTTTTTATAGAGTCAGGGTCTCCCAGTGTTGCCCAGCTGGTCTTGAACTCCTGGGTTCGAGCAATCCTCCTGCCCAGGCCCTGCAAAGTATTGCGATTACAGGTCTAAGCCACCGTGCCCAACCCAAAGTTTATTTTTGAACCACTCACTATCAAAGCCATTTTTAAAATTTAAATGTCATCCTTAATAATAGAGGGAAAATATATTAACCAATATTATGGAACTCTATACTTGATATGTATGTTAGAGGTTTTTTGTTTTGTTTTGAAGTCTCACTCTGCCACCCAGGCTGGAGTGCAGTGGCATGATCTTGGTTCACTGCAACCTGTGCCTCCCAGGTTCTAAGCGATTCTCCTGGCTCAGTCTCCCAATTAGCTGGGATTACAGGCGTGCACCACCATGCCCAGCTAATTTTTGTATTTTTGGTAGAGATGAGGTTTCACCATGTTGGCCAGAAACACAAAGTTATAATCTTAAATTGTGAACTAGATATTTCCACTTGCACCCCTGACAACACAGTTGAAGCAGCTTGCTGCCGATGTCAGAATCCCCGCAGCTTTCTGAGTGGAGGCTCAATGTTTGACTCTAAGCTATATCCACCCCACTGTAAGGCTTAGATGAAGGGTATCCCATCTACATATATATTTATTAATATTTACAGATTCAGGGGAAAAAAACTACATATGGCTCTCTTTAATAAATATACATAATATCTATTATATCTCCATTGTGGTATTCTATCTAGGTCCATCCCCTCAAATAAAAATGTAACTGCAGCCCGGCCTGGGCAACATGGTGAAACCTTGTCTCTACAATACATACATAAATTGGTCAGGCATGGTGGTGCGCACCTGTAGTCTCAGCTATTCAGGAGGAGGCTGAGGTGGGAGGATCACTTAAGCCCAGGGAAGTCAAAGCTGCAGTGAGCCGTCATCATACCACTGCACTCCAGCCTGGGCGACAGAGCGACATCTTGTCTAAAAAAAAAAAACAGTTGATTCCTCTAAGGCAACTCATAAACATATACCAAAGACAGATAATCAATTTGAAAGAAGAAATTAGCCATTTCACTAATTTGACTTCAAAAAATTCTTAAAATAGGCAAGAGTCCAACATAGAAAGTCATAAGGTATTTTTGGAAAGTTATCCAAAAATTTATAATTTTATAATTTATAAATTTATAATTTTTGGAAATATCATTTTATGAGCAAGCTAAAGCATTCATCTTTGAACAGTGAATTAATTCTCCCAGAATTGTGATTAGGGAGGTAAGGGAAAAAAACTGACCTATCAATCATCATCTCACTGGTAAATGAAAAATGTAAGGCTCACAAGTCAAAGAAGCTTGAAACAAGTCAAATCACAACTTGAAACCTCATGCTAAAGCGTATTATTCATCTTTAGGTTGGATAATACAATAATTCTTTCCACTTTTCTTTCTTTCTTTTTTTTTTTGAGACAGAATCTTGCTCTGTCTCCCAGGCTGGAGGCAGTGGTGTGATCTCAGCTCACTGTAACTTCCGTCCCCCAGGTTTAAGTGATTTCCCTGCCTCAGCCTCCATGAGTAGCTGGGATGACAGACATGTGCCACCATGCCTGGCTAATTTTTTGTATTTTTAGCAGAGATGGGGGTTTCACCATGTTGGCCACACTGATCTTGAACTCCTGACCTCAGATGATCTGCTAGCCTCAGCCTCCCAAAGTGCTGGGATTACAAACATGAGCCACGGCACCCGGCCTTCCATTTTTCTTTAAATTCAAAATTACTTCAATAAAAATACTTGCTACATAAGACATTTATAACCAAATACTATCATTTTGTACAGTTAATTTCCATCACCTTTGGGGAGGGAAGTCTATATAACTGAATGACTTTTACATTCAGTTGGTAGATCCAGCTATAGGCCATTTTTACATTAGTCTGATTTAACAGGATCTATTTTAGGTTAATTAATCTTCGGAGATACAAATTTCTTAACAGAGCAGTCAGCAGTATTTTTAAAAATTAACCAAAACGTTCCTAAATCACGTGAAGTAATGCATTAGCAAGACTCAAATACCTCATTTTCTGCTATTTGTAGCCTTCAAAGCTTAACCATCTGCTTCCCCACCTTCCCAAATGCCCCTATCACCCAATGATACCTCTTTCCTCCACATTCTTCTCTCTCAACTAAAAATAGATCATAGAAAATTTACATTTATCAGGGCCGAGAGCAGTGGCTCCTGCTTATAATCCCAGCACTTTGGGAGGCCAAGGCAGAAAGATCACTTGAGGTCAGGAATTCAAGACCAGCCTGGCCAACATGGAGAAACGCTGTTTCTAACAAAAAATACAAATTAGCCAGGTGGTGACCCACACCTATAATCCCAGCTACTCAGGAGGCTGAGGCAGGAGAATCACTTGAACCTGGGAGGCGGAGGTTGCGGTGACTGAGATCATGCCATTGCACTCTAGCCTGGGCGACAAAGCGAGACTCCATCTCAAAAAAAAAAAAAAAAAAAAGCCAATGTGCATCTACAGCCCACACTACCGCCCCCAGCATCAAAACCAGCAGAGAGAATACATGGGCATGAGCAGTAAATACTTTTTGATGAGGAAAAGAGAAACAGCAAAATGATGAACAGCAAAATAGCAACATGACACAGTTTATGAAAGGAAGAACTCGAAAACTAAGAATCAGACAGAGCCAAATTAAGTTGTTGCTTAAAGCATAATAATTAAGGCTTTTAAATTCACCAAACCATTCTGCTATCACAGACTAAAAAGGCTTGTTTATCCCGTCTCTGTCCTAGGGGAATAAATTATCTCATGAGTCTTTCTATTTTACCAAATTGCTATTTAATAGCTGGTGAAATGTTTAAGCAATTCATTATATTAATATAAAGATCTTTTATAGGACAAAGGCATTACCAAAACCATAGTATAAACAGCATTAAGAGTAAAGTGGAAATGATATTGTTTACTTAAAATCCATTGAAATCAGCCACAAAATTCATTCCAATTTTAGGACCCCAATCTTTGAGTAGTTTTTTCTTCTCCTTTTTTTTTAATCAAAATAAGCTGTATACAAGATTTTCTGGGGAAAAAAGTTCCACCTTATTTTTATTCCTCTCAAGTTATTTACTCTAATTTTCTCGCCTTATTTTATTGAAATAATTTGTTAATTATGTTATGTTATGTTATTTATTTATTGTTGAGACAGAGTCTCACACTGTTGCCCACACTGGAGTGTAGTGGCGTGATCTTGGCTCACTGCAACCTCCACCTCCCGGTTCAAGCAATTCTCCTGCCTCAGGCTCCCGAATAGCTGAGATTACAGGCATGAGCTACTACACCCGGCTAATTAGTTAATTATGTAATGCTTAAATAGACACTGCAACCACGAAGATAAGTAGGGTAGGTAAACATTCAGAAAACAGATGCTCCAGTTTAAAATTCACATCAGGACTTTTAGTTTAAGACAGCAGACTAAAGATGTATGTTTGCTACTTACAGCTTACAAAACCACACTCAAAAAAGGAAGGCAAAAAAAGCAATAAGCCTCAGCAGCTGAAAGAAAGAAAAGTAAGAGATTTACCAGTGGATAAAAGATCCAACACATTTCTAGTTTCCAAACGCAAATGAAATTGTGTTGATGGATGAGGCAGGCAGAGAAAGCCACAGCCCAGAATACTCTACTAGGCAACCTAAAAGGAGCTGGAAGCCAACCTGCTTCTTGGAATGCTAGAGGGAATCTAGAGAGCCAATCTGTCAGCTGGAATACCTGATGGCTCTGGGCTCTCAGCCAACAGGTACAAGGGAGGGCAGGAGTGAGAAGTGAGGCTGAAGACAGTGGGAATAATTGAAGATCTGTACCTGGTTGGCACCCCCATCCACCTCCCCCACCCCACAGAGATCACAGGCAGCCTAGCATTAACCCTCACTCAAAAAACCAGATAGCTGAAAGAACAAACAAGCTACAGAAAGCAAAGGCATCTAGTGTGGGTACGTATGTCCAACCAGAGAAAAGTACTCCACTGGCACGAGGGACCAGCACAGGCTCAACCTAGAGCAAACAGGCTAGCCAAGGTATCCCATGCTACACACAGGGCTGTCAGTCATCCATTCAGGTGATAGGTCTAATTGGAAAAGAGACTTTTAAAACAGCAGAGGAAGTCCACACCAGTTAGCTGGTCCTTCTTTCTGAAATATGAATAGTCAACCAACAATTACCAAGCACATGAAAAAGTCCAGCAGCATGAAAAAGGAGAGCTAAGATAAACACAGAAAATAAAATCTCTGAAAGAAATAAAGACAATTATAGGGCATAAGAAAACATTAAAAAATAAAGCTGCTATAATCAAAATACTGAAGAAGATAGTGCAGCCACATAAACGATGAACAGGAAACCATAAAAAAGAAACAAATAACTTTTAAATTAAATATAAGATCCTTAGAATTTAAAAAGTGGTTAGAAAAGGAAAGAAAGTCACCCGCCCTCTTGGCTCCTGTGGAGGCCGCTGGGAACAGAACTTCTAAAAGGAGCTATGTCTGGAGGGCTGTGGTCCAAGGCTATTTTTGCAGGCCATAAGCGGGGTCTCCAGAACCCAAGGGAGCACACAGCTCTTCTTAAAATTGAAGGTGTTTATGCCCGAGATGAAACAGAATTCTATTTGGGCAAGAGATGCACTTATGTATACAAAGCAAAGTACAACACAGTAACTCCTGGCAGCACATCAAACAAAACCAGAGTTACCTGGGGAAAGGTAACTCGGGCCCACAGAAACAGTGGCATGGTTCGTGCCAAATTCCGAAGCAACCTTCCTGCTAAGGCTATTGGACACAGAATCCGAGTGATGCTGTACCCCTCAAGGATTTAAACTAATGAAAAGTCAATAAATGTGGATTTGTGCTCTTGTATTTTTGTTAAGTGGATTAAAAAACTTACTACCTTAAAAAAAATTTTTTTAAAAGGAAAGACAACAAATGGTCTGAAAAATAAAATAGAGAAACTCAACAATGAGAGTACATGAATAAAAAATAAAAATAATAGAGAAGCTAGAAAAGACATAAAAAGCCAATCCAATAGGCACACCATTTGACTAGTAAGAGCCCTAGAAAGAAGGAATAGAGAAAACAGAAAGGAAAAATTATTAAACAAATAGAATTTCCCAGAGCTGAGAAAAGACCCAAGTCTTAAGATTTAAAGAACTCAGTTAGTAACCATACAACTGATAAAAGACCCCTATTTATAGGTTTTCACTGGAAACTTCAAAATAAAAAGTATAAAACAGAGATCCTGAACAGGAAAAACAGGTCACCCACAAAAGATTGATAATCAAACTAGCTTCTTATCAGCAGCAGGGAATATCAAAAGACTTTAGCTGCATCTCCAAATTTTATAAGAAAATTATTTTTGGCCCAGAATTCTACAACCAGCCTAACTACAAACAGGTACTAGGGTACACTAAAGGCAGTTTTTGTTTTGTTTTGTTTTGTTTTTCTGAGGTAGGGTAACCCAGGCTGGAGTGCAATGGTGCAATCTTGGCTCACTGCAGCCTCCGCTTCCCATGTTGAAGGGATTCTTTCACCTTAAGCCTCCCAGGTAGCTGGGAGCACAGCTAATTTTGAACCCAGAAGTTTGAGACCAGCCTGGGGAACACAGCAAAACCCCACAGACTGGTTCAAACTCCTAGGCTCAATTGATCCTCCTGCTTTACCCTCCTAAAGTCCTGGGATTATAGGCATGAGCCACTGTGCCTGGCCAAAGACAGTTTTAGACATGAAAGCACTCAAAAAGTTTACTTCCCACACATCCTTTCTAAAGAAGGAGAAGATTATTAGGACAGGGAAAAACTTAGGGTCCTGAGAACAGTGACACCAACCAATGAGAAAAACGCAGGGAAATCCTAGGAAGCCAGTTGTGTAGCAGGCCTAGAAAAAGCATCTGGTCACCATGGGAACGCAAGCATGAAGGAGGGAGGTTTCTGGTAAGAAGAAAAAAAAGGAGGAGGAGGATTCTACCACAGAATATGAAATATAATTGAGAGTACAGAAAAAATAAGGCTATGATAAAGGAAGATTGTGCCAGAAAAAGAAGGCAATTAGAAACTCCCTGCAAAAATTTTTTAAAAGGAAAGGAAAAAAAAATAGCATTCAAAAGCTGCATTTCAAATAGGAAACAAGCTTATATGTACCCTGATTATAATGAACTGATAGAGTGTGAGAAAAGAGGATCCAGTTGCTATTAATGTTGAAATCTTGAGAGCCCAGGGTCATTACCCTGGCCCTAGGAAGAAGAAAAAGTAGTCCTAACATAGAGTTGGCTCTGCACTAAATAATATTTATAGAATCATATTTTAGGGGGTATTAAAATTAGAAATGTCCTTCATCTTAGGCCAAAACTAACTTTGATATATTTGGTCTCAAGACATAAATTTCAGGATCCTAAGAGAAAGACTGGCCCAAAGTGTCTCAATCCTCCCGTATTTTCTATAAACACAGAATCAAATGATGCCTAGGTTCCTTCCTGCAACTAACTCCCTGAAGGTGAGAGTCATTTCCATTATTTGAATGGTCCAGAACTCCAGAACAAGCTCAGGACACTTGGATTTGGGGGGTGGTTGACAGAAGAAATGTCCACTTTCTGCAGCTAAGTATAACCAGGTAATTATTGCAAAAGACAACAACTGCATATTGACCACTCGGGAGAAACTGTGGCCCATGGTGATGTCAAGTCATAATTCTGTTACTTCATTAGGGATCCCAAAGGCTAGGTTTTAAATTATTATTTTCTACTAGAAACATCAAAACGCAAGCAAGCATAATTTCTAAATACAAGGAACTTTTTAATAGGGAATTTACAAACATTGCATGTTCTTTACCCTATTGGCAGAAATATGGTCTAGCTTCTGGGAAGGGACAATCCTTGTAGTAATGTGCTAAATAACAAGGGGTAATTGATGAGGTCTGTTAATTCTACTTGCTTCCTATAACAAAAGGAACATAATTATAAGCTGCAGAAAATGCGTTTCAGGTTTATAAGGGAGATTTTCCTTTATGGAAGAATTAACAAATCATAATAATATAATATTATTTATAGTTTTCATATTTAAGATTCAACTTATGTGGAGACTTGGTTGTATAACAGGAAAAAATATAAATGTTATCAACTTTGGCAGTGTAAAAGTAGCTGACAGAAAGTGGGTAGTAGAAGAGAGGGAAAAACAGGTAGAAAAAGGGAACACATGTTCTAATGTCCCTTCTAAAAAATGGGGACAGTCAAGAAAGACTGTCAAAAATGGATGAAATAAGAAACAGTTGTTATTTCTGAGGTTACCAAGTTATGCAACAGAATACGTTAAATTAAAATTACAACTATCAAACACTAATGAGGGATAATGACATGAGAAAACTAAATATTCATGCTTTAACACCAACTTAGCAAATAAACTTGTTAAATCAAGAAACAGAGGTACTCTGGGCCCAGTGCTCATGCCTGTGTCCCAGTACTTTGGGAGGCTGAGGCAGGCAGATTGCTTGAGCCCAGGAGTTTGAGATCAGCCTGGGCGACATGGCAAAACCCTGCTTCTACAAAAAAAAAAAAAAAAAATTAGCCAAGTGCAGTAGCACTTGTGTGTGGTCCCAAATACTTCAGAGGCTGAGGTGGGAGAATCACCTGGTAAGAAGAAGGAAAAGGACGGTGAGCGTGCGATGTTGAGGCTGCAGTGAGCTGAGATTGCACCACTGTACTCCAGACTAGGTGACAGAGTGAGACCCTGTCTCAAAAAAAAAAACAAAACTCAGACATAAAAGCGTATTATGTAGAGCTGTAGTCTCCAAAGTTTTTTGATAGTACAGTTCTTTCAGGAAAATAGTAATAAGCACAAATCCCTAATATGATTATGTTTACTTATTTATATTCTGTGTAAAATTATGACTATACTCATCTCTTTTTTTTGAGATGGAGTCTCGCTCTGTCACCAGACTGGAGTGTAGTGCACAATCTTGGCTCACTGCAACCTCCGCCTCCCTGGTTCAAGCGATTCTCCTGCCTCAGCCTCCTGAGTAGCTGGGACTACAGGCGCGTGCCACCACACCCAGCTAATTTTTGGATTTTTTAGTAGAGACAAGGTTTCGCTAGGATGGTCTCAATCTCTTGACCTCATGATCCACCCGTGTCAGCCTCCCAAAGTGCTGGGATTACAGGCGTGAGCTACCATACCCAGCCAACTATACTCATCTGTTATATATATATTGTAAATTACACAAAAATAAAAAGTTTAAAGTATATATTTTGAATGAATTTTCAAGATGGGGAAATACTTATAATAAATCAAATATAGAAAATCATCAGTTATTCTTACATAAAAATAAACATTTTAAGGTATTTTTAAAAAACACTTCACCTGGGCAAATGATCTTAATAGACCTTTCTCAAAAGGAGTCATACAAGTGGCCAAAACAATGATAAGGAAAAATGCTCAGTGTCATCAATCATCAGGGAAATGCAAATCAAAACTACAATGAGATATCATCTCGCCCCAGTTAGAACTGCTATTACCAAAAAAGACAAGAAATAACAAATACTGGCAAAGATGCAGAGAAAGGGGAACTCTTAAACACTGTTGGTGGGAATGTAAATTAGTACAGCCATTATGGGAAAGAATAGAATTACCATATAATCAAGCAATTCCACTACTGGATATTTACCCAAAGGAAAGGAAATCAGTATGGAGAGACATCTGTACTTCCCCATTTACTGTAGCACGATTCACAATAGCCAAGATATGAAATCAATCGAAGTAATGGAATACTATTCAGCCACAAAAAACAATGAAATCTGTCTTTCACTGAAACACAGAAGAGCCTGTAGGACAGTATGTTAAGTGAAACAAGGGAGGCACAGGAAGATAAATACCACATGTTTTCAATCATATGTGGAAACTACAAAAGTCGATCTCATAGAAAGTAGAATAGGGGTTACCAGAGGTAGGGAAAGGTACCGGGGGAGAGAGGAATAGCCAAAGATTGGTTAACAGATACAAAAGTGCAGCTAGATAGGAGGAGTAAGTTCTAGTATTCTACAGCACTATAGGGTGACTCTAGTTAATAATAATTTACTGTATATTTTCAAATAGGCAGGAGAGGATTTAGTGTGTTCCCAATTTAAAGAAATGATAAAAGTTTAAGGGGATGGATATGCTAGTTGTCCTGATTTGATCATTATACTTACATGGAGACTTGTTTGCACAATAGGAAAAAATATAAATATCATCAACTTTGGCAGTATAAAAGTAAAAGTGTAGCTGACAGAAAGTGGGAAGGACACTTCAAGGCAAAGAGGAAAGGTAGGGTAGACACACTGACATACAACAGAAAGCATGTTGTCTGGGAAACTGAAGTTTTTCAGGATTGCTAGAGCAAATGGTGCATGAGGTGGTGGTGGCAGGAATGGAACATGTATTGAAATATCACATTCATTGTAACCCATAAATACTTACAATTATGGGTCAACTAAAAGCAATTTTTAGAAACTTTTAAAAACAGGTAATTAACTTCCTTTTTTTTTTTTTCTTTAAAAAATAGAGACAGGGAATTCTCAGGCTCAAGTGATCCTCTTGCTTTGGCCTCCCAACGTGCTGGGATTACAGGCATGAGCCACCACACCCAACTAAAAGGTAGTTCACTTCATTTTTTTTTTTCTGAGGTAGAGTTTCATTCTTGTTGCCCAGGCTGGAATGCAGTGGCCTCCCGGGTTCAAGCGATTCTCCTGCCTCAGCCTCCCAAGTAGCTGGGATTACAGGTACCCACCACCATGACCAGCTAATTTTTTGTATTTTTAGTAAAGACAGGATTTCACCATATTGGCCAGGCTGGTCTCAAACTCCTGACCTCAAGTTATACACCTACTGTGGCCTCCCAAAGTGCTGGGACTACTTAACTTTATTTTTTAAAAGCAG